TATATATATATATAGACTTAGCTTTTATACATTAAGGCTATATATGACTTAACGAATTCTAAAAATTTTAGTTTGCGCCAAAGCCTTGCTATTTCGAGCAAAAGTTAAAATGTAAATAAAAGACTATAATAAAAACAACCTTACCTGTTGTACTGAAGAAAAAATGATTACATCTGTACATGCTTGAGAAGAAAGGCTGGAGCCCGACGAAATTATTATGATGAATCCACTCACATATAGGGAATTGAGTCGGGGGGGACGAAACGCAAAAAATGCATTCACCTGTGCTCCAACTTTAGAAAAACCAATAACGCGAAGATCCTGAATGGAGTCCACTGAAATAAACAAAAGTTGATAAAATAGGTAGCATTAGGGGAGAAATTGAGTGAACCAGAGATGAGAATCATTAGTAGTCAGTTATACTTTTGATAAAAGCTGTGTAGTTAGTCCAATTGATGGAAAAATTAATCTGAGCCACCAAGTCTTTTTCAAGATATAACCTGAGAGAAGGGTTCAAGAGGAGATTCGATGAAAACATATTTTTAAGTAGAAAGCAAAGGTGCAATTCTCATTACCACATACCCTGTGGTGAAAGAGATCATCTGACCACCTGAGGCACTGAGATTGAAAGTAAAATGTTGTCTGAAACAAAGTTTCAGGAATGAAATAAAATCCTCCTTAAATTTAGTTATGCTATAAGTAGTTCAAATTAAGTAGATATGTGAGATGTGTTCATCCTATTTAATTTAATGTGTTAAGGGCTTGTAGCTGAATTTTTTAACTGTGATATGAGTAGAGCTGACGTTTCCATTAAATTTCACATAGCCTCACTTTCAGAAAAGGTTTTCTCATCCAGGCTGAAGTGGACTGCAATTTCGACTTCGTGTAGGTCTTATAAACACCCCAAGCGGGAGTCGAACCATGACATTGTAACGTGTAAGCTCGGCTACCAGCCCTTCATCACCTTAAATAAAATAGGGTGGACACAATTTATTTATCGTAGCTAATGGTAGTCTCAAAAACCCACTCAATAACGGAAAAAGTAATGTCGTCGATTGCTATAGCAAATATAACTTTGCTTCATCGACAGTCCCAACACAGAATGTGATATTGAAAATGCATGACCTTCCTTAAAATTCAAATTTTTCCTGTGACCCAAGGGCACTCGTGGCAATATGGCGGAGTGGTTAACGTGTCTAGCTTACATGCTGCACTTTCATGGTTCGTCTCTCGGTGGGTGTGTTAATAAGACATAGGCGAGGTCGAAGCTGCAGTCCATCCAGAATGGGAATAACTTTTAGGAAACCAAGGCCACGTGGAATTCAATGGAACCATCAGCCCTACCCATTTCATTGTGAGAAAATTCAACTAGCAGACCTTCATCAGCTTTAACTAAATAGGGTGAATACATCTCATATTAATGATTCACTGGGAGTCTCGAAAACCTACCCAATAACGAAAAACACAAAGTAAATAGGTATGAAGACCAAGGTTATGTGGCTTTTTGTTTGGTCGCAGTCTCCTTTCGTTGTTAGTCTGGGAATGTACCACGTACACGGTCCGACTCTGGAATATATCATGCATACTATAAACTCCGGACTAGGTGCGTTCCACTAAGTCATTCTACCAATATGACCAAGTTGTAAAAACAAGGTCAAACAACTTGAATAAAAATTAAGTAGGTTTATGAGATAACCATGATAGGCAAACGCAAATATGTTATAGACACGAAGAGTAACGGGTTCTCGATGAATCTTCTGAGATAACATTGTTGGGGAGACCTTTATTTGGTATAAAAGTGCATGAAAAGCTTCGTAGATTAATTTCATCGGAAGACGGCCGTTTGGTTTTAATACTACGATCAGGTTGACGCAGTCCACGAAACCTCCTCCCTCGTTTCGGGTGAAAACGGGCTGAGCTTTCGTCCATCATTGAATGGACATCATCAGAGCTGGGTGTCATTCCTGTGAAAGTCTCACGTCAGCACTAGGGCACGAAGACTATCCGGCTCTATCTTACCTAGTATATGGACTCAATTAAGCCAAAAGAATTAAAAACCTATATAGATATAAAGTGATTTGGCTAATTATCTTTTATATGAGATGTATTCACCCAATTCCGCTTAAGGTAATGAAGAACTGATATAAGAAGAATTTTCCCACAATGATATAAGTAGAGCTAACGTTTCCATTGAATTTCACATAGCCTTGCTTTCCCAAAAGTTGTTCTCATCCAGAAGGAAGTGGACTGCAGTTTCGACCTCGCATTGGTCTTATCAACATCCTCAGCGGGATTCGAACCGCGAAAGTGCAGGATGGGAGCTTGACATGCTAACCACTCGGTTACACTGTCACGAGCAACTTTTGGGTCACAGGGCAAGTGTGAATTTTCAAGGAAGGCCAGGCCTTTTTGTCATATCATATTCTTTTGGTGGAATTGTCGATGAAGTAAACGTATATCTGCTATAACAATCAACTACTATACTTTATTTTTCGAATAAAGTATTGTTTTCGTGACTGCCAGTAAATGAGTTATATGAGATTTATTCACCCAATTTCGTTCAAGGTGATGAAGGACTGGTAGAAGAAGAATTTTTTGAGTGGTTAGCGTGTCAAGCTCCCATCCTGCACTTTCGCAGTTCGACTCCCAATGCGAGGTCGAAACTGCAGTCCACTTCCTTCTGGATGATAACACCTTTTGGGAAAGCACGGCTATGTGAAATTCAATGGAAACGTCAGCTCAACTCATATCATTGTGGGAAAAT